TTTGTCGTGCGTTAGGCGTAGGTCAACATATCCTCGTGAAAATGAAGTGAAATTCTGCCGCTGCATTTCGCAATAACCGAGTGAAAATTCATGTGATGTAAAACCCGACAACTTCTTGATATACAATTTTATCCGGCAAAGTTACCTTGCTGTATTTGACGCCTATAATGTGATTTCGTACCTATGTTGCTCCTTGAGGCCTGATACACAAACTTCTGATGCGCATTGTGATTTCATAAGGATCGGGCCGTGAAAGTACAAAGTAGAAAAACAAAATCTCAGCTGTTTTCATTAACAGGTACCTGATAATACGAGTAATAGCCGTGGTGAAGCGTATATGCAGATTCTGCAGCAGTACAACATGCTTCTAGGTCTTGCGTAGTCGTACACAATACCCGGAGTTCATGTACTTTTATTTTTCTGCACGCAGCGCATACGCCAAGATGTACCCACTCACAGAGGAGCGCATGAAATGCATGTTTGCCTTGACTAAAATATCAGATCGTAAACTTTCATCGGCAACCGGTAACTGCAACCGGCCCACAACGAATACGAGTGTTTTCGCAAGCAGGACGCATCGCGTTATTCACACTGCACACGCCACGCACAATATTCCCAGTTTCGCCGTCCGTAAAGGGGAACCAGTATTGTCGATGCCTTTCAACGCAAACTACACGCCACAATCAAAACTGCACATTTTCGAAGACAATGCCGCTGCTCCTCGCACAGATCGCCAGGTGTGTTCACTTTAAGATAAACAGCCAGCCAGCGTGGCAAATATTTCATCACGCAATTACCACACACCTAGATGTTCTCTGACGCATACCAGAGCTAATGTTGCCGCTGTGAGATGAATATTAAGCTTTCAAAAAGAAAAAAAAAGACCCCGTATCTGCATGTTACAATTCCAATGTCGTCGAAAAGCGATAGTATAGCATCTGGAGAGAGCGAACAAATCGTTTACTTGATGTGCTGCGCAAGAAAATTGGTGAATGGTATTTTGGAGGCGGCACGTTAGAGTGCCTCGAGCGTGCAGCGGAGGCGAACGAGCGCATGAAGTCAGGTCACACGTGAGACATGAACGCTATCAGGCAGTTATCCAGGAGAATGAAGCCCGTGTCGGAGCCGATAAGGTGTAGAACGCAAGGCGACGGGTAGGTGCCACCACCATGTCGTCTGATATGATGATCATATGTGGGGTTTAACGACCCAAAACCACCATATTATGAGAAACGCTGTAGTGGAGGGCTCCGAAAATTTTGACTACCCGGAGTTTTTTAACGTGCACCCAAATCTGAGCACAGGGGCCTACAACATTTCCGCCTCCATCGGAAATGCAGCCGCCGCAACGAGGATTCGATCCCGTGACCTGCGGGTCAGCAGCCGAGTATACCTTAGCCACTAGACCACAGCGGCGGGACAGCCACCTTGTCGTCTTAGCAAAGCGTTGGAAACACTAGCCTTTTCGTGCAAGCGTTGCATTGTCAGCACAGCGTGATAAGCGCTACGGTCCTTAGAATTGCTTATGTATATTTTTCTAGTAAAAGGACGCACATACAAAATATTGAAGTGTTATGGTGCCTCAAATATGCGCAATATTTTTTTTTATTTGGCAATCGCACAAGTATGAACGCTGAATCTTGAGCAATATATTGATGTATCGTTTGGAGTATCGTTCGTTGCCGTTTAGGGCGGACAAACAGACAAATGTACAGACAGTCAGACAGACCGACCGCAATGTTTGCTTCGAAGGTCCCCAAAAAAACTATCGTCTTTAAAAACCTTGCCCCAAGCACCGAGCGACTGCTCCTCACTCCGCCACCGGCGGGAGCTTTTCGCCAACCGCCGCCTTGCACGTGCACCGGTGACGTCACGCTGTGACGCACCCCGGTAGAGGTCTATTTTTTGAGTGGGACTATTTCTTAAGTCGTGGAGCAAATTGGCTGCTGTACTTCGATCATCTGGGTGTGGCCTCTCCTGCCTTCTTAAAGGGAAGCTGAAGCACTTTTCTAAAAAAAATGACTTAGGAGCGTGTAACGACAGTTTGACTCTTGCTGAGTTAGAAGAGCGATGTGAGGGTTCTCAAAAGTGAACCCCAATAGCACTTTTTCGTGAAAAAAAAAACAGTGGCAGTGGCCATCGGGCTTCTTCAGATGCCGAGTGAATACAGTGACGTCATTCTCGGTGTGACGCGTCATCTGCGAGAGCAGCACTGCTGAAGTATGGCCTTTTCGATTAGTTCAGGCAACAGCACGTCATGGTTTAGTCATGGAGGCCGTGGTTGAAGCTAAGAAAGAACACTTGATCCGGGCCCGAGAAAGCGAAGATGACGTATGTTTCCACACCCACACTTTCAGCGCGCACGCGGGGATGGTGCAGGAGAAGCTTTCATTTCACCTGTTCTAGAGCTCCTGCTGCTACTACTGCAAAACAATTTTGACATCGTCAACAATAATGTCAGTCCTTCCTAAACGCGAAGTTTGAATTGTAAAATCTTTTCAGCTTCCCTTGAAGTTGTACCCGACTATAGTTGTGTTGGGAGGAGCCGAAAGCTGCTGTGGGTGAGAGAGACGTCAACGAGCAGCTGCGACTTCACATACTTGGCATCGTTCCAACAACTACGGTGGGGGGAAAGCGGTGCAGCGTGTTGGCACGGAGACACGCACGGACAACGTTACACAGGTCAGCCAAAGAGCTGCTTCACATCTAAAATTCACTGAGCGACATGGTACATTGTCATAATGAAGCATCCACTTGTCTGCGATGTGTTCCTGGGGGAGGTTCGTCTTCAACGTTTTCTAGGTCTTTCAAAAATGGCTTGTGACAGCGGAAAACTTCTGTTCTTGATAAACGCTTGTTTAAACTTTTGAAAAGTCATACTTCTGGATTCAAAAGTATAACGCGAAATTTGTGCCACAACGCTGCTGCAAATTTCCATGCCTCATTTCTGTAACTTACAACACAAACTTCACTTATGGCGCTGTCAGAGCTACTGTGTAAGCTGTACGGAGTTTTAACTTCGACGGAAGAAGGGGAAAGGATAAACACTCTGGTATTGCACAGGCTGTTCGACACAACTTTGCCAGACCTCGTGCTGTTTTGCCAGTCTCATTACTTCTTGGACACACCTCGTAAGTCTAGCGAGAATACTAAATCGCATTGAAACATCTCAGTTTAGTGTGCCTAATTGTTTCATGGGCTAGCAGGCCAATGAAGGCAGGAGGCATACGCGAAGATCTTCGGAGAAGATGAGATAAGAGTTCTCGAGCAGTCGATATCCGAGTTCATAATGCATAAAGATCATGGGACATGATTAGAATTTGTTGTGTTGAACTAATGGTAAGTGCAAACCTTAATTACAGCTGTAGAATTATTTGCTGACTGCTAAGAATTTGACGCATGCAGAATGGAAAAATCTACATGAATTTCTCGATATTAGGGCCCGTTTATAAAATACATTTATATTGAGCTATATTCCTTATGTTACACCAGGACACGCCATGAAATGAAGGTGATGTTGCATTCGAAAAACATTGTATGATCATGATAGGAGGGCATGGCAAATTTTCGGTCACAATCAACATTCTCGCATTTTGCACGGCCACAATGACGAAAACACTGGTGTCCGGCTAGAAGAATGGCAATATATTAGTGATTTTAAGGCTTTTACATTTTATGCAAGGTCGTTTTCATGAAGTTCGAAATTCTCAGGTACCGTTTGATATTAAATGCAATTATTTTCGCATGAACACATTCTTTTTACTGACTAACTGAATCAAATGCTGACGCGTTCCTGCTGTCGAAAGGACCGCACAATCCAGACTGAGTCATAAAATTGATAGTATCAAACAAAAATGATCGCTTTGAAACAACGCTCAATGTGATATTATAGACAGTGACACCATCATTTTTAATTACTGTTACAGCTGTGAAGTCATGCGTATGAACATGCTCTCTGCATACAGCGCAATATTGCGCATGTATACTTACAGTGCACGGTGTATACGTACAATGTGTCGTGTTGTAATGGAGTAGTATTATTTCAACAACCTTCTGCGCCATTATAATGCTACATAAGTCCCCACAATTGAGCTTCTGATCGCTGTGTAGTGCTTAAAAAAGCGAGAAGCTGGCGCAAAGAATTCACTATTGCTGCTGGCTCACTCACTCCAGATTTAGCCAATCAGAACATCCTCACATGACCAGTCCATTTAGTGTAAACGTACAAAATACGAGCCTTTATCCACGGTAAAGAAAATGGCGTTTGTTCGCTAAAAACGCAGTTACCTTTAAGTGAATTCTACGAATGCGTCGTCTTAAGAGCGGTAAATCACTAAAACAGTAGATAATCTCGTTTCCTTGTGGAATATCTGTTTCCTTATCTCTTTCATAGTTCTTTCAGCCACCATGAGCACTTTCACCCATGTGTGTAAGAACTTGGCTTTAGTCGAGCCTCAATGTCATAACAGTATAGTGGAATGAAAGCCCCTAAGAATGGACAGGAGAACACCGTTGAGCTTGCCTAGAATTGTTTAAGCTGTTCACCGATGAAGCAAGTCGACTCTTCACTGATGAAGCAAGCCCTTCGTACTGTACACCACTACACCAAAATGTACTAACGTCTGCATTCCAGCTGGAAAGTCACACGCAAAGGCACAGGTAGCTTTTAGGAGACAGCTGTGCGTATGCGCGAGCGCTAAGCTTGAATATAACAGGCACCAACGCTAATGTGGTCGAACTGTGGATTTCATGCGTATTGCGCTCATACATGCATTCTCTTCCCCTCAAGAGCTGCCACAATGTGCCTGCGTGGAGAAAGGTGACGTTAGCACTTTTAAATTAATGCAATAACGGCCTTGGTGCGTCCCGCACGTTTGTTTCTTGATCTGCGTTCTGTAATAACACGAACATTTTGCTTCCAGACGTTATTTCTTCTACAGTCGAAGTATAACTAATATTGTGGTTCTTTAATGTAGAATATAGTAGTGATAAAGACGTACCATTTCAGTGCCAGACGGCCAGAACTTGGAGCGGTCATACTCCCATGAACTGCAGGAAACAACTGAACTGTTGTCGAAGACACCGTAGTCTGTAATGGCGTAGTGCGTACACGAATCATATCCGGTACCAGAACTTGCACGTGGTATGGCAGCCCTTTTCCAATCTTCTACGGACCACTCAGCATATTCCGGCGGCCGTGCACACCAGTGGTCCACGTCGGGGAAGAGGAACGAGGCGCACAAATTGTTGATTGCCAGCATCATGCCCCGGTACATGGCAAGCAGCAGCAACATGTTCTGGTAGTTGCCACTCCCGCCAATTAAGTCGGTCACCTCCATAGCCCCACCTTTGTGGCCCCCTTGAAAGGCTCCGGTTCACTGCATAAATTTACCACGTACGCTGCATCAACTGGCAGCGCGTGTTGCAACAATGTAAATTGCGCAGGGCATGCTTTGTAATTTGATATCTTGAGAAGAATCTCTAAAAGTAGCACCAAATTTCGAATGCAAGCTTTTTCAGGTCCACATTTGAGAGGACCGAGTTTGCACCTAAAATTTCAGTAGTAAGCTCCTCTTGATAAACATCAGTTGGAGTGATGTTTCGCAAGCGTCAAATTTACAGCAATGGGAAATTATTATATTGAGTTAAATGGTTATATTAAGATGAGTAAAACAAAGACTATAAGCACTACCTAATTAAGAAGCTTTTCATCGGTACCTTTATTTCACGGAAATATGAAGTGCTCTTTCTTCAACTTACGCAGAAAACTCAGTAATAATTTGCAGTACTATAGCATGTAAAGAATTCACAGATGGCACTTTCAGGCTAAAAGAAATTCAGAGAATACCATAACTCAATTTTAGGGGGGGGGGGGGGGGTTTCTTCTTAGCTAGTCCCTAAAGTCTTCTTTAAAGTTGTTTGTCCGTCTGTATCTGTCTGGTCAACACCAGAACGCGCTTCAGGTTTTTACGGCGCCCATCTGACTGCGTTGTTTGACCACTTTTAAAGACGATAATCTTTCTTGGGGACCTTTGACGCAAAAATTTCGGTCCGTCCGTCCGTCTGTCTGTCTGTCTGTGTGTGTCTGTCTGTACTTTTGTCTGTTTGCCCGCACTTCATTGTACCCTAAACGGCACTAAAGTGGCCAAACGATTCTCCAAACAGACAACCCCATCCGCAGCACCCACCAATATTGCTCAAGGTTCAGCGCTCATGCTTGTGCGATTGTAAATTAAAAAAGCAATAATTGCGCATATCTGAGGCACCATAACAACACGTCAATATAATGTATGCGTATTTTTTTACTAGAAAAGGCACACATAAAGAATTCTAACAACCATAGCGTTTATTACGTTGCGCTGACCATGCAACGCTTGCACGAAAGGGCAAGTGTTCGCTACGCTTTGTTAACACGACACGGTGGTGGCACCTACACGTCACCTTGCGTTCTACACCTTATCACCTCCGAGACGGGCACGCACGCCACGCGCTCCGTTTTCCAGGATAACTGCCAGATAGCGCTCATGTCTCACGTGAGACGTGACTGGATGCGCTCGTTCGCCTCCGCTGCACGCTCGAGGCATTCTAACGCAGCGCCTTCAGAATAATATTCACAGATTTTCCTACGTAGAGCATCAATTGAACGTTTTGTTCACTCTCCAGACGTAAGACTATCGTCTTTTGACGGCATTTGCAGCGTAACATGCAGATAAGGGGCCATTTTTTTACTGTACGCTTAAGAAGCCAAACTTTGAAGGGGAAGTGAACAGGGTGGACTGCAATTAATAAGTGCAATACCAATCAGAAACGTGGAAGCAGTGATAATGTAGCAAGTGAAAATTAGCAAGAGTGGGTGCTCGAACCTGGATGGTGATCAGTGACAAAAAGTTCCGCAAAATAGGTAACCGTAATTTTGTATCTCTGACGTTACAGCGTTAATTTTAGACCTGTACGTTACCGACAACCTTGAGCTTTGAGAGAGAAATAATGAATTTTATAGTGAAGCCGAACCAGCCGTATTCGCATTTCGTGGCATCACTCACTGTTGCAGTGGTTTATGTTAGCAGGTCTAACGTGTCAAAACAACAATCAGATTATGAAGCATGCCGTAAGTGGCGGCGTCGGGCTAACTGACTACCTACGTTGGTTTTCACGCAGAGTAGACATGGTACATGAATGTCTGCACTCAAGCCATATTAATATGAGGCCACCGCGGCAGCGATTTCATCCCGCGACCTGGCGCTAATTTAGTAATGTACGTCGGTGTTGCTGTAATGTAACGCAGTGGGCAGCAGAACTACTCAACCTTAGTAAACGTTGTAGCAAGGATAACACGGTAAATGTGTTCAGCAGTACCATAGCACTTGTTCTGTGGGGACGAGTTTTTGTGATGAGACTTCGGGGGTGATCCTAAACAGAAGCATCCGTAGCTAGACTCCAGGGCGAAAATTTTTACACAGTTTACATAAATTCCAAATTAAGACTAACGGCGAAAAAAAAGCCCGAGCATGGATTCTGTTCGTACGAGGCACGCTTTTGTTGGTTCTCTCAGATGGCTTATTCACTTACATGTAGGCTGACGAGGATGGTGGTAGTAGCTTTTTTAGTAGCGGTGACCTCAGCAAAACGCAAAAGAGGGCGAAAGAAGTGGTAGAAGAAAGGAAGGGGCAATAGCGATTGTCAGGGTGTGGAGACAAGGGGCTGGTGCGTTCTCCCCGTTCGGAATTTGAGGCCAGATGACTTACGTGAGCAGAGCTTCGGAGGCATAACAACGATAGGGTGAATGATGTGCGGCATTGAACTTTAGCTGGTAGAGAGTTGCACAAGGCACCACAAAGATGAGCTCGTGGTCATCGAATGAACCCTGCAGTTCTCGTTTTCGAGTGTCTTGAATTGATTGATTTGTGGGGTTTAACGTCCCAAAACCACCATATGATTATGAGAGACGCCGTAGTGGAGGGCTCCGGAAATTTCGACCACCTGGGGTTCTTTAACGTGCACCCAAATCTGAGCACACGGGCCTCGACATTTCCGCCTCCATCGGAAATGCAGCCGCCGCAGCCGGGATTTGAACCCGCGACCTGCGGGTCAGCAGCCGAGTACCTTAGCCACTAGACCACCGCGGCGGGGCTTCGAGTGTCTTGAAATCATGCATGCTCATTTGGCATAAACTTAACATAATTTTATTCTCTATAAAAAACACAAGCCCCACTTCGTGCAATATTAAAATATCTTGCCATCATTGAATGCCTCACGAAGAAGCTGAAACCAAGACCCACATCTTGAAAGCAAGAAAGACACCGGTCATGAACGCAGGCGCATCACTGTCACAGTACATATCGGGACACTTTGGTCACCGCACCAGTGGTCTAGAGTTTACCATCGGCATGAAGCTACTTGCCCCGCCGTGGTGGTTTAGTGGCCAAGGTACACTGCTGCTGACCCACAGGTCGCGGGATCGAATCCCGGCTGTGGCGGCTGCATTTCCGATGGAGGCGGAAATGTAGGCCCATGTGCTCAGATTTGGGTGCACGGTAAAGAACCCCAGGTGGTCGAAATTTCCGGAGCCCTCCACTACGGCGTCTCTCATAATCATATGGTGGTTTTGGGATGTTAAACCTCACATATAAATCAATCCATTCTGAAGCTACTTAAGCGCCAAAGAATGACCCTTTCAGTAAACTCGATCAGTACGCAGAAAGCAAAAAACAGCCACGAACCTGAATGTGGTTCATAAATTTTTGCAAACAAAGGAAAGTTGCAAGTAGCCTCGTATAGAACTTTTGGCATAGATCAGATGCTGCTTCGAAAAAGTTTGTGAATGGCTTCTTGCCCTTGCAAGACTTGCATAACACTGCAAAAAGTTATAAGTGAGCTGATTTAATGCATGGAGACTGACTTACATTGGTGCCTTCAAGAGTTGGGTGAAACTATTGAGGAAGCAGCAAGTTGCACAAAGATCAAGCTTAAGCATTAAAAAACGAATGTGTGTGTGCTCACGAGCACTTGAAAGACGATAGATTTTCGTTGGCTTCAGCAAGCCGTTGTAAAGCTTTTTCACGGAGGCACGCATTAACACTGAACAGAAAAAATTGATACATGCGACGTTATTAAATGTGAGAGATGCACTTCGCAAGACTGTTGCTTTCATCTCCTTTTAGCAAAGCCAAGGTTTAGGTACACATCTTTTCTATCTTCATGCGTGCATAAAAAATCCTGTAACAAACCAGTACATACCGTGTTTCTGTCAGAGTAGAATTTTCGGGGGCCCACTTTCCAGCGTGGGAGTGCGTGGTAGGCTTGGAAACGAAGCGGCTCAAGTGTGTCCGCCCATCGGAAACCGGAAAAAATGTTTGCAGACAGCGCCATCTGCTTCCAGCGTGACGGCATGATTAACAGTATTATCCGATCAAGCCTGCCACAAAACTGATCGAGCGCACATTTGATAACGCCATTAGTTGTAAATGAAAAAAGTGATATTATACAGCGCAATATGTTCTTTCTGGTTTCATCAGATGTACACTGCGCCCTTGCGAATCTTCGACTTGCCAAGGGGGGCTAATATAAGATTATTGTCTCACTTTGAAAGAGTAGTTGCAATATCGCCTCTTTTAGCTGAAAAAAAGCAACTTTGTTGATTATTGACTATAAACTATGCGTTACTGAAGCGCAGGCGCAGTAAAGCAGTGATGGCATGAAGCGTGTACTGTATTCTCACTATTTTTTTAATGCAAGGTACAAACTGATTATGGTGGTATCGAAAAGATAAACGGATCCGCAGAAAACCATTTTGTGTATGACGATCCCAGTGCCCGTCCAGCTGAAAAGCGCGTCCTAACAACAGAGAATGCGATTTGATGATTGATGTGTGGGGTTTAATGTCCCAAAATCACCATATGATTATGAGAGACGCCGTAGTGAAGGGCTCCGGAAATTTCGCCCGCCTGGGGTTATTGACCGTGCACCCAAATCTGAGCGCACGGGACTACAAAATTTCCGCCTCCATCGAAAATGCAGCAGCCGCCACTGGGACTCGATCCCGCGACCTTCGGATCAGCAGCCGAGTATCTTAGCCACCAGACGACCGTGGCGGGGCTAGCTGCACAATAGGCAATTTTAGAATACGCTAGTATAGCGGTTGTTCCAGTCGCCCGGGAGCCCGCAACACAATGACGCATGCGCAGTGGCGGTAAGCGCTCACGCAAGACTTTGAGTACGCTGTTCTAAAACTGCGTAATGCCATACATCTTGGAGCAAAGAGCGTGAAGTGCGCGCGTACATCTGCGCTGTAGGAACAATGTCTCAATTAACTCATCGTTAGGTGCACGAGAAAAGCCCCGATTTCCGCAACCGTTTGCATATACTCTTTTTAGCTCCACAACACTGTTACTTCTCAATGAAGCACATAAATTGCATTTAAGCGTACTTTCTACAATATCCTTAAAATATGATGATCACGTGTTTAATACCAGTCGTATGGTGTGCCACATCAGATATCTTCAGTTTTCGTCATGCCGCTACGGCCTGAACGTCACGATGTTCTCTGAGCAGGTAATCACAAGACTTAGTTATAAAGTGAACGAACATTTCCTCTCGGAAATTACGCTGCGTGCTACGTGTGTTACGAAAAGAGAACATCGGCAAATGCATGCTTAGTTGGCACGGCGATTTGGAACGGGCAGGCACGTCTATGAGTATAAAGATATTAAGTGTTAACACTTTATTTCCCAAAAACACGATATGATCATAAGGGGAGTCGTCGTGGAGCGGTTCAGAAAATTTGACCATTTGGTGCCTTTAATATGCCCTGACATCACCCAGTACATGGGGCTGTAGTATATTGCTTCCATCAAAATGCGGCTGCCTTGGCCGGGTTCGAACTGATGACCTTCAGATCGGCAGCCAAGCACTGTGCTGATAATTACTGCGCGAAGGCATTCTCATCAAAGAAAGGTATCTAAAGGTCGCAGACTAGATATTACAGCGATCAAGGCTTTCATTACCAAATGAAAAATGACGTCGTCAAATAAGTTATTACCTTATTATTTACGAATTATTTATTACGCTTTCCTTATTCCGATAAAGTTTCAAATTATTTTTCATCTCAGGTAGGGAGCGTAGCCAGTGATATTTTTTTGGAAGAGCAAACCCCCCTCCCCCCTTCATGCGCGTTGTCCGCTGTGGTGGATCAGTAGCTACGGTGCCCTGCTGCTGACCAGAAGGTCGCGGGTTGGATCTCGGCCGCGGCTGTCGCATTTTGATGGAGGCGATATGTTGAGGCCCGTGTCGTGTGCGATGTCAGTGCACGTTAAAAAAACACCAGATGGTCATAATTTCCGGAGTCGTTCATTAAGGCATATTTCATAATCGTGTGGTGGCTTTCGTACGTAAAACCTCAGATATCATCTTCATGTGCGTTTGTGCGCATGTTTATATATGCGCATATGTGAACGCACACGGAATGTAAACGTTTCATGGGGGGTTTGAACTCTCACCAAACCACCTTCTCTGACTACGTACCTCACTGGCTCAGATAACGAGTGCAGTTTTTTGTAGCTACGAAAATCGCTCATAACCGCATAGACAAGCTGATGTACACCAATCGACAACATAGGAGGTATTACAAAAAAATAAATCGAAGCTTATACGAGGTTTGGTGCCCTTTGTGGGCGCAAAACCTCGCATTTCCCATTTCCCCTGTGATTCACCTCATACAAATAGTTGAGAGGTGGCCTGTTTTGCTCATGTAGTTCCGCCAACCCCGATTTCGTGAAATCCCCAGCGTCACGTCACGGGCGAAGTTACTCGCTTGATGGTCACAGTTCTGTCCATCAAGCGGAGAGTTTCTAAATTACTCGACTTTAACTTGAACCAACCACATTATTTCTGAGCGTTTCACCGTATTCTGGGGTTCTAAAGAGGGATATTTGGAAACCGAAGGTGGTGTTCGGTTGCTTCCGCGGAAAGCCTTGGCAGGGCGGATGTTTTCGGAAGCAGGCAGCCGGACGTTTCGTGAAGACCCCGCGCGCCTACGGCGTTCCACCACGGCGGCGGAGCGTGCCTTGCGGCCAGCCGCCCACCGGTGGCGCAGTAATTTTAGAGGCAAGCCACAGCGCAGCAGGAGATCATCTTCGCTATCGCGCCAGCAACGGCAGCCAAGCGGTGGGGATCAAGCGCTGTATCTCTGGGTCAGATTGCACACTCACGCGCAGAGCTCAAAACTGCAGAGGCATGCTCAAACACGTGCACGAATTTCTTGAAATTGAGATAGGGAGAGCATTAACGACCTTCCTAAGAGAGGAACACAGTCAAAGTCTCTTTACGTTGTTTTTTAGGCTTTTGATATTTTCTTAGCCTCTTGTGAATGCATCCGTTGCTATATAATTTAATGTACGTTTCTCGCATTTTCCAGGAAAATGCGACAGCGTGAAACACTGAAGCGTTGTTTACACTTTCAAGTCTTGCCTAGAATTAGCACAGGAAGGCCCGCTTCCTGCGGGAGACGTTCGTCGAAAAAATACGGCGTCAGCCACCGGATGCGCTATGCGGCTGGTTAAGCAAGCGAAGGCGCTCTCTTGCACAATTTCACCCTGGCGAAAAACACCGCATTTAACTGTACAGTTTATAATTGGTATATTTGAATCAGGTATGTACAGTATTCTACTATCCTGTGCTTGAAAAGTCATTTATGCCTCATCTAATTGCTCCGGTTTCATTGTGCGCCGAGTCTTACAACCACTATAGTGTAGCCTGGAAGAATGGGGGGGGGGGGGATCAACTCCCTCTTCTCCGAATCGTTCATTTTCGCACGTGCATATACACGCAGGCAAACATACTCAATAACTTGTATAAAGATTGGCACCCGCCAACCTACTCAAAAATAATTTTTGGCTACGCTACTGCATACAATCTTGCCATAACCGAGATTCATGCAGTACGATGGATGCATAGCCTTCCATAAGTAAATCGTAGCCCCTTTATTGTGCCGGCTTCTGTGAGGACTGGACCTCATCTAGAACCTAGTTATACGATAGTGTTGCACTCAATTTAGTCGTAACTTGCACCTAAATCTAAGTACATAGGCCTCAAACATTTTCGTCTTCATCGAAAATGCAGTCGGGATTCGTTCCAGCGAACTTTCGGGTTAGGAGTCGAGCGCCACAGCCACTATAACACCACGGTGGGGCGGCCGATGTTACATCAGACCATGAGCCACCCTTTACCCACTAAAGTACTCGGTATGCCTGGCAAGCCCACGGCATGCGCACGACTGCTCGATTAACAAGTAGCAAGAAGACGTCGAAAGGTTCTGAAAGAAAAATGTCTGGCATTGGCCGCTACTTGCTGAGTGCTTCGGATGAAATTTATTTCCACTGTGTGTGGGATTTGCACAATTTTTATATTTTTAAAAGGGTCATAAACCACTACTTCATCGTTACTTAGGGCTCACAGTGCACATGTGCCAACAGACGTTTCCATGTGTTCATCTATAAAATTCACAGCATACGGCAATGTCAGCAGTATACAACAGCCTTGGACAGACACGCAATCTAAAATAGAGGTTTTTGACACCTACTATCTGTTATAATAGGAAATGTCAAAAGAACATTCTGAGAATTCTGGAGGAACAGCGATTCATTTCATATATATGTATAACTAAGTTCATTGCAAGGAAACACCAGAGCCATGCAGGTGGCAGGGAAGCGAAAAATTCAGTTGTATCGCTAGCTTAATCCAATGACCAAAATACTCACATACAGTAACGTGGAGATATGATTGGCAGTGTTCACCACCACACCGATGATCTAACAAACGCACTATAGCAGCGTCAAGATATATTTGACATTTATCATGCCAGCGACGATGTTGCAACAGCCAATAAAATATATCTTAACCACCTAACGTATTAAACAACAAGAGTTGTCGTTCGCGTGGTTCAACTACACCTCGACTACGGTTGAGCCACTCCGCGCCCTTTCAGGCTCAGTGCAAGCGTGCCAACATTGCTGCTCTCCGGCTCAGGCAGGGGATTGCCGACTTGGGTGTTCCTGATGTCGTCAGTAAGCTTAGGTGGCCTGCGTTCCTGGATGCCACGGGGCTGGCCAACCTATAGATGTCATGGCTGGCCTGGGTATATGGGCTTCCTGGATGGCAGGCGTACTAGCGTGGCTGGCTGGCATCGGTCTCGACGGTCCTGGACGGTCAGGTTCAGTTGGCTCACCTAGACGCCGGCCTGGCAGCCTGGTCGGACCTGCGATGTTAGGCATATGCTCACTTTTTGCAGCTTAGAGCACCTGTGGTCTGGAACCAAAAAACATATACCATGCTATTGGAGAGTAGC